GCGTGGTTGCATTGCGGTATATAAACACTACTTGTATTTATGGTCCATAACTTCGACAGGCGAATACTCTGTTCTCTGTGTACGCACGTATGTGTTTATTCAATACCTTTGCGAAAAATATTCGAACACGAGGCTCATGATCGAGGGTCACATTCTTATTGGACAGCTTTTCACCGACTGATATAAAATTGCAACTTAAAAAAAATACTCCTATTCGCGATATATTAACGTCCATTTAAGATAAAATGAGATTAAATAATATTAAATAATTATATATGCTAAATAATATTACAATATTTATAAATATATATTTGTTTCTAAGTATTTGTAAAGGCATTCCCGTAATAATATATAGATCTCACTGTTGTTGTTCATCCCATGATTTTCTAAAATAAATTAAAAACGAAAAATATTTTCTTACCTTAAAAGTATATTTGGAATGCATTTGAAATATGAATAAAAAATTATTATGTACTTATGAAAGGATTGTATATACGTTACATGAATAAATTAAAATTTTTATTCAACGAGACTTAGTTTTTAACCTATTCTCTCGACTAACTCAGTCTTCCCATGCACTTTATTCAATTCTCATTTCATTTAAAAATTGTGCGTTCCATATCATAAATTAAAGCAATTGAATTTTCGCTACGATATCATATATGTGATAAAAAAAATTGCGCGCAGCTTGTCCCCGTTTTAACGTTCAAAGTACATCAGAAGGTTAAAGCGACGATACTTAAATAATATAATCATTTGCGGTGGCGTAAGTGGTGTAAATTACTGATAAGAACAAGCGGAATATTTGAAACGTTAAGGGAAGTCGGCAGATTAAATATCTCCGGTTAGACGATTATACTAAGTTACCTTCCCCATTGGATTATTTCATTCTGTGCGATTAATCGACTCGGTACTTGTAAGCTCCTCGAGTTTCTTACATCGGATCCACGCAAGACGGTAGGCGGTAGTTCCGCGTGAATCATCCGCATTTGCGTACCTGTGACTATTCTTTCAATACCGGGCCTTCACTTCGCACTTATGAGAATCTGGCGATCGATGCATTTGTGATTTCTTATATATGCATTTCTCTTTTTTCCTAGAGAAATGTGAAAATTCGATTATTCTACATTTTCAGAGCGATTTGCAAGTTAATATAAAAATGAGTCTTGTGCGTTTCAATGCTTGATTTCAATTCCGAGGGTAATCTTCATTGAACTTATCCCGTTACACGTCCCTTGATCAAATCAATTACCTCGGAAAAAAACGTTACATCAAAATCTTTATTTCTCGAGAAGCTGTGTAGCCGTTTGTTGCATGTATGTAGATTTATTTACATTGAGAGTAAAATATCTTAATTCATTATCTTCTAATTTTTGGTCTTTTTCCTTTCTCATTCTTCAAATTAGCCAATTAGCTAATTAGTTTCCAATACTTATTTATATATCGTTTCTCATTTCTCAGTTGATATATCTATATCATTTATTAATATGTTTATCGTTTTTATATCTACATTGATCTTCATTATATTAAATTATTGTTTAACTTTTTTTTATTTTTTATCTACACATATGTAATTCTTCTTTTTCCATGTGGATATTATTTTAATAATTTTACCCTATTTCTTAGATTTACCTTGATGTATATGAACACTATCATTAATAGTTCATATTTTCAACTCTAATAAAGAATTAAGGAATAAAAGCAGCATTCTTCTCATTATATACACTGTTCCTTTACATAATATTACGAACATTGCATTTCAAGGTTGGCAGTATTATTATTACATAAGAAAAAATCAAGTGCAATGAAAATAAACATATTTGAGACAAAATTTTTTTCCGGGACTAACGATTCGATTCTCATAATTTTCTCATAATCTTCCGTGTGTGTGTGTGTGTGTGTGTGTGTGTGTGTGTGTGTGTCTTTATCTCCATTCCCAAAATCATCCCTTTCGTTTACGGGAACGAGATATTGCGCTCATTCTCTCTAGGTTGTCACGATGTCCTTCGTCTCTCCTGGCTTTTTGAGACATCAACGACGGTGAAACTGAGCAGCTTCTTGGCACTCTGCTTGCGCTGCATTTCATCGTAGCCGCTGATGATCTGGCTGTTCTCCAGAGGCTCGTTAAGGGCATGCCTCGCCGCGACGGCGACATTGGCATCGATGGGTTCGAGATAGAAGTGCCAGCACGATTCGGGCTGAAGCTCAAAGACAGCTCTCCGACGTCTACCGACTCTCGACGATCTCCGATTCCACCAGTGATGCCGGTTGTCGCCCACTCTGATCATCGAACAGGTCACAGCCCATATGCCCGTCAGGCACTGCAGCCATGGTTTCAGAAACAACATCTGATTCGGCAGACGGTCCTGCAGATACCACTGTGCAGATATCATTATGCGACAAAAAGCGATATGTTTTTATAAAGCAAAAGACACAAAGCTCTCGTAGTATAATATTGTTGCATGATAAATCCTATTTTGAAAACAATTTTATTCAACGTCTAGAAAAAAACGATTAGAAAAAAAAATCATTACGCAGTATATTTTGGCCAAAGTTTCTTACTTATTATATTTTTTTAAGTTACATTTCTCTTCAAAGAAATTTATTTCGCGGGTTTCTCATCTTCATCCATTTATCGCGCACATCCTGTGAAAATCGATATACTGCTGGCGGATTTTTTTCTGTGGATTCTTCAATTTCGTCGCTTGAATACTGACTATCGATACTGGATGGAAATTGACGACTAACATCGCAGTTTTTTGTGTTATCTACAGGCGAACTTTAGAGGTCTATATTACCGACATTAAAGTCTGATAAGCATAATGTTTGGATATAATAGAAGTCACATGGATGTGAAAAATGAGTTTCAATATAAATATATTTTTGCAATTACCTGAATTAAGATTGAGATCTGAATTCGAATCTGGATTCGAATAATTTGAAATCAATTCTATATTTGGAAATCCAGATCAATATTTGAATACTCAGAAGATTTACCATCTCAACTCTGAACAAAATTCGTAACCACATGAGAGACTCGGAGGTAATTTCACAATATTAATATTATCAACTATTGATAAACAATCATAGAAATGAATAGCGCATTATTCAATAAAGAATATCTTGTTATATAATTATATATTTTATAAATATAATTCTTTTATTAAATATTATAATATAATACTATAATATAAATACTATAATATAATACTATAATATAAATAACAATAAATATAAATGTTTTTCATATACTTTATTTTTACATTTACAATACATTTAATAAAAAATTAGTGCTATTAGATGTTGCTATTGCAGGTTTGCGGCCAGTCTTGTTGGCGATTTCTCCTCTTCCTAGAGAAAGAGAAAATTTTTTTGCCGATTCTATCAGCTTTTTTCTCGGTCCCAGAACCAGGATCAGTCTTTGTAGTGGAGGCCGCCGTTGTTTTGGGAGGATGGATCGGGCGGGGCGAGGCAAAGCAAACCTAGCTTAACTTAATATAATCTAACCGTCCCCCGAGCCGCTTCCACGCCGAAACAGCGGCGCACCCGCACAACACCCACACCCGTACCGCAACAATACTACAATCGCAACCGCACCTCATTCAACAGCGGTGCACCCGAAACGCATCCGCATCGCATCCGCATCGCAACCACAACAGCGCCGCAACCGCAATCGCACCGCATCGCAACTGCACACGCACTGCACCCGTAACCATATCACAACCGTACCGCAACGGTATCGCAACTGCATCAGCACCGCAACCGCACCGCATGTTCGTATCGCAACCTGTACCCGCAAGTGCATTTGCATCGAAACTGCATCGCAATCGCAGAGCAACCGCACTGCAACCGCACCGCAACTTTAACCGCAACCGGAACCGCAACAGGAACCGCAACCGGAACCGCAATCGCAACCGTACCGCATCGCAACCGCATCGCTCTCGCATCCGATCCCACATCCGAATTCGCGTCCAAATTCACATCTGATCTCGCACCTGTATCAGCACCTATACTCGTACCTTCGTTCATCCATCTATTCATCTATTCATTTATCTTATCCTACTATCCACTTATTCATTTACCTAACCATCCACTCAACTACAACTATTCAGTTATCTACTCAATCACTCACCCACTTACATACATACGCACGCACGTACACACGTATATATTGATGATTTTATTTAAAAAAACGAAATTGTCCTTTAGATTTTTGAAGTTATTCCTTTGGAAAGGAACCACTGGAAGTAATCATTTCTATACTATATATTTCTGTTAAATAACTTCTTCTCTTATTCTTATACTTTCGAAAAATATGTGAAAATATACATGGTATGTGTGTGTGTGTGTGCGCGCGCGCGCACGCTAAAATTAGTAATAATTTATTAGTAATAATTTATTAGTAATAATTTATTAGTAATAAAATTTTTTTCCAGTTAGTAATTACAAATATATATAATTATTCTATGCTGATGTCAGTTTGTTAATTTGCAGAATTACATAATTTATCTGCTTTGAAATTCTTGATATATTTCCAGGTATGAATGCAAAATATTCCATGTATTGAAATTAAATTTATGAAAATGTACCTGTTTAACACATTACGTTCTCATGTTATTTCCGGGTGACTCAAGGAATAATATCATTAACGTAGACGTTAACACGGATATTTTTCCGTTTTAACTTGATACGAATGAATAATTTATTAAACTTATTTGCATTGTATATTGCAGATTTACTATACGTATTAGTTCATGTTTTACGTCTAACATAAGAAAATGCATTTGTATGCTGTTGACTTAAGCCTATAATCATTAATCTTGCGATTTTTCAACGAAACGATAGTCATTTGTCATAATAATTATCACAATGGAAAAATTCTATTCGCAGTTATAGTTATCATAACTTTCATTTTTTATTTTTTTTTCTCCGAATGCAACGATGAGATAGTGTAATCTTCTATAAGTACGATAAGGGAACGTACTAATTCTTTTTGCTACTAATATATATAGAAACAATTTCGAAATTGATCCAAACGGCATCATGTCGTCTATAACACGCTTGTGCGTATTCTTGCTTTTTGCGAGTAGTTGTTTTGCTAAGATTCATAATAAGAAGTGGTGGAATAATACTGTTTTTTATCAAATTTATCCTAGAAGTTTATATGATTCGGATGCTGATGGAATAGGCGATCTGAAGGGTAAGCATATATTAACTGTCATTTTATTGTACAATGAAAAATAGCGAACTATTATATTTAATTGCATAATATTATATATATAATATAATATAATAATAATAATATAATATATAATTGCATATGTTATTACTATAAGCAATTAATCTAGCAACTAATTTATATTTCTTACTTGGATATTTTGAGGAAAACTTAGTATATAACACTTGTGATGTAGAGTTTTATATTATTTTATATTGTCAGGAATAACTTCAAAGTTGGATTATATCGCAGAAAGTGGCATCAATGCGATTTGGTTATCGCCGATATACTCGAGTCCCATGGTTGATTTTGGATATGACATATCTAATTTTCTAGAAATTGATCCAACTTTTGGCTCATTGGAAGACTTCAAAGCTCTTCTGGCGCGCGCTAAAGAACTTGGTTTAAAAGTGCGATGACTTGCCAATATTGTGCACACTTATAATTTTTTTAGCTACAATAATTTAAATCAAAGATATTTAAAATTATTATATTATTTTATGAAACATTTTTTATTACTTTTTACTTTTTATAAGAATTATTCCGTTTATTCTTACAGGTGGTTCTTGATCTTGTGCCGAATCATACATCCGACAAGCATATATGGTTCCAAAAGGCTCTTGAAGGTAATAGGAAATATAAGAATTACTATATATGGGCAGATGGCAAAAATAAAGATGGTCAAACGCCACCTAACAATTGGATCAGCGTATTTAGTGATTCCGCGTGGACTTACGTTGAGTCACAGAAACAATGGTATCTTCATCAGTTTGATTACAGACAGCCTGATCTAAATTTCCGTAATCCTCTAGTAAGAGCAGAGATGCTAGTAAGTAATAGGAAAAGTTTTAATTTTTTTTAAATATTGGAATATGCTGTATTCCTGGAAGGAGATTTTTTACTCAAAACACATATTTTTAGAACCCATACTCTTTTAACTATATTTACTCTATTTGTATAAAAAGAATAGGAAAAAAATTATTAAATTATAACTGATAATTTAAAATTTTAATAAATTTTATTCAATAGAAGCAATTTATAATTTGAAATTAAATTTTAAATGTAAATTTTATGTAAGTTTTATAATCAGAAAAATATATATAAAAAATTAATAAACTAATAAAAAAGATCTTATCGCAATTAGGTTTATTCTTTCGATTTTTAATAATCCTTTCAATTGATTATAGAAAGTCTTGAAATTTTGGTTGGATTTGGGTATAGACGGATTCCGTGTTGATTCCACACCATTTATTTATGAAGATATATTTTTACGGGATGAACCTAGAAGTTACGTGGACGGTGCTACGTCGCGAGATTATACATATTTGGACCACATTTATACTACGGATCTAATCGAAACATACAAGTTGTTTGGAGAATGGCGAAAATTTATCGATTTATATGCCTTTACGCATAATCAGGATCAGAAGGTGAATTAAATGATTTTCTGTTTTTTTTTGTATGAAATCTATTTACGTTGCTTTATTGATTTTTGACCAATGTAAATAAATCTAAAATCTGTAAATCAATATTTCTTTTCTAATGTAGTTATTAGTAATGGAGGCGTATACGAATTTGGAACACACTATACAATATTATGATTACGATGTGCTGCCATTCAATTTTAACTTCATCATAAATGTAAATGCGCAATCGTCCGCTCAAGACTTTAAACGAGAAATAGATGCATGGATGAATTTAATGCCAAGTGGTGAAATTGCTAATTGGGTTGTACGTATTTATATGTAATGTTATTATTATCTTAACGAAAACATTAAGCACGAAAAAAATATTTGCTGATAGAATTAATGACAGATTGTTAAAATTATGTTTGTTGATGTAACTAAATTAAATTTGCTATTACATTGCTATTACATTGCTACTGTTGCTAATCCATCGACATGTATTAGCAAAAATAACAAACTTTTTCAAAGTAATTTGCAAATTTAATAATATCGTATCATAATGTCATATTTAGTAACATTGTTATTTTTAGATTTATTTAGATTTATTTAGCCAATTTTTATGTATGTTAACAAAACCGCTTTTCCTTTGTATAAAAATAATGTATATTTTTGAACTTTTAAAAAATCTTGAGATTGCTGAAGAATCTGATTTATTTTACTGCATAAAAAGAGATTATTTACTTTTTATAAGTAACATTAAAATTTCATATAAATCTTTTTAGTTGGGAAATCACGATAATCCGCGCGTTGCCTCTCGTTTTCCCGATAGATTGGATCAAATGACTATGTTGTCTATGATTTTACCGGGTATGGCAGTGACATATAATGGTGATGAAATCGGCATGGTGGATAAGAGAGACATATCTTGGAGTGATACGAAGGATCCTCAAGCATGTAACGCGGGCCAAGCGCAATATATGAATGTGTCCCGTGATCCAGAACGCACGCCATTCCAATGGGATGCGACGCGAAATGCAGGTAAAGGATGAATATTTGTAATGTGTATATAATAATAAAAATTAATAATATACTTTACAAAATTTTGTGTTGAGCAATGTATTAATATGCTACTGCAGGTTTTAGCACAGCGAACACGACATGGCTTCCAGTAAATCAGAATTATAAGAAATTAAATTTGGCGAAGCAGATGACAGCGACTAAATCGCATTACAAGATTTACAAAAGTTTAGCTCTCATGCACCGTACGGAACCAGCTCTTACCCAAGGAAGTTATAAATCGATCACAACGAATAATGATACTGTTTTGAATATTATTCGAAACAATGGTTATGGTCGCGTCGTGGTGCTTTCAATTAACTTTGACGACAATGAAAAGCAAGTTGTAAATTTGTCACAAGAAGAACTTCCGTCGAAATTGATCGTCAAAGTTGCCAGTTTGAATTCTAAAGTAAAACTTGGGTATGGCTTAAATATTTTTTTGAAATGCACACATTGTTTACACATTGTATAAACAATTAGTTAGTAGTAGTAGTAGTAGTAGTAGCATTATTTATTTGACAATAATTATAATTTTCTGAAAATCTTATTGGCATAGCTTGTAATTTTATTCATCAGTTTTTTGATAAAATTTAAAGTTAAATATTTTTAAATTACATTTTGTTAACAATATAATTACAGAAATGTTTAGATATTTTTAATAACAGAGGTATATAATAAGTTTTTATTTTTTTAATGACTTGTTTATACATGTAAAGATAGGACAAAAATATGGTTGTACAAACAATCTTTATAAAAATACTGTTGTATTTTTTTAATTATTTTTAAAAATATATTGTTTGATAATATTAAAAAAAGATATATATATATTTCACAATATACATTTGTATTTTTTTTTGTATCTAGGAAACTAGTTGACGTGGACAAGATATCTCTACCTGCAAAAGCTGCTGTAGTATATACGACTATATAAATACATTATTCTCGAATTATTTATATTAAAAAATTTAGTTAATTGCATTTGTGAATTATAATCTTGCAATAAAAAAAATAAAAATCAATCTAATTAATTATGTTTATTTTTTGTAAAATACACCTATAAATGAATTGTAATTTTTAGTTACGTATTTATAATTTTATTTTTATTTAATTACTTATAATTTATGTATATTGTAATTTTGATGTTTTGAATTTTACAGAAATTGAAATATTGATTATTAGTCATATTATTTTGAATTATTAACATATTTAAGAATGGATCTATCACTTATTTCTTGTGTAATATATCTATTTAATTTACATAATTAAAAACAAACATATTTACATGTTTATATATGCACTTTTTATTTTAAAGTATTATTTGATATTGATTACAATTAAACAATTATATTATTATTTATAAGTTTTATCCATTTTTTACATCATTGAATTTAATGACCCTGATTATCGATGGCCAGAGCGAAATTCAACATATTAATACATTAAATATTTACATTAAATTATGTAAATATCTAAGTAAAAATCTAGATGACAGCATAAAATTATAAACTAAAATGAAATATTTAATAAAATTAATATTACTTTATTTTACATATTTAATGCTACAATTTTTAATTTAATTGATTAAAGAACAAAAAAACATACTTTTAATTTATTGTTATGTTGTAAATCTTTGAATAAAATGTATTTTACATATTTGGTATATCAAATTATATTTATTTGATACTACGTATATAATATATTGGATCAATTTTATTAAATAATTTATTATTAGCTGGCATGGTATCGACTGCCGGTATGTGTACGATGGCGAATTTCTCCACGATCGGAATTAATCAACGTGCCGGTAAATCGAGACGTTGTATTGATCGCAATAAACGCATGCGCCTTTATTAATCCGATCTTGTACTGGTGGGGTAATGCAACGTTACGTACCAATAGTCCCCGAGGTAGCTGCAAAACTCGCGATAGTGCAAGTCCACATTGGTATGTCAAGAGCAGTGTTGCACGTGTTTGTGAACGTTCAGCAAGGGTGACAGTGATCGTCTTTGATCCCGGACTTTTTTCTCTCACGGTATTTAATTCGAAATATCAAAATCTGATTTATTAACTCACAATAAGAGTGCATATGTTCCAATAGCTACATTGATTTATCTTATTATCTAATTCTTTTTTTGTATGTATTCATATGTATTATTTCTGATAATAATAATTTTAAAAGAGTATCTACATGCGTAATTAGCTATCAGGATATTTTTCATTTTAACCGATAAAACGTAATTTAGGAGACGATAAAATGTCGTTTGTTTTGACAGCTGCGTTTGTATCACTCGGCTGTAACTTGCCCATTTATTGTCTTTTAAAGTTCGTTATTTGATATTATCTTGTCTTTATAAAAATAATTTATAAAAATATAAAACTGTAATTAATATAATACGATAATAATATTGTTTTGTATGTTTTGTATGTTAAATATGCTTACACAAGTGCGTGTTATAATTTCTTGATTTTTTTTATATATTGTCAAATATTTTGTAAACATTTCTGATTAATATTTTAAAATAAATTTAATAATTTAATAATTCTTGTTTTATAATATATATATATATTTGATTTATATAAATTGCGTATGTTAAATAAATTAAATTGTATTTTTGATTTAATAAGTACGTAGATTGTGACGACACATTGTGACGACATTGTGATGAAAATTATTTTAATATTTGCATTACGCAGTTTCTTGTGTTTTTTAAATGCTTTTATTTTCTGAGTAATTGGTATAACAATACAATAATGTTTGATATAAAAAGCATTTCTCAATGTAATTTAATACTAATATGGAAATTATTTAGGAAATTTTTATCGATAAAAACGTATCGAATGTTGTGACATGGCACGTAATATTTCTTCGAAAAGAAATTATCAAATATATTAAATATTAAATTTAAATATTCTTTTTTATCAGATTTTTCTAGATTTGTATAATATGATTTAAGTAAGATTTAAGATTAATATAAAGAAAAGTTTAAACAGTTTTAGAAAAAAGTCAAATGTGAAATAAAACGTTACGTATAAAGTGTAAAGTCACATTGAAAACATTTCAAAGCAATACAAATTATAGTTTGCGTTGATAAATGCAATGGTGCAGTCGACACATAAATTTCCTGTCTCAATATTTATTAGTCTTGTCTCAATATTAAGCAGTGTCACTTACATTTTTTGCTTGACACTTCTGTGTTAATTTTGCATATGGAATATATTAAATAATATTTTGCGTTGATAACACGTGCTGCTCGCCAGACAAAGATGGAATTGTCGTCTATTCCGACAAGTGTAATTATGTCACGTTGTTTTGACTCAAAGCATATTCGTTGTCTTGCGACGTTTCCTAAGTGACAAATCGTTATTTTGTTGCATTTGCATGGTCCGTATTTTCGATTTATCACTGTGCATTATACATGATTATAAATGTACGTAAGGAACATTTCTTTCTCTTTTTTTCTCTTCTTCTTTTGCAAAAAGAAGAATTTTTTTTATTATAAAATGTAAAAGAAATATCTGCAAGCAGGCTAAGTACATCCCGCATAGCAGCACAGAATTGCATAATATAGATAGATAACGCTGCATTGCAGTTGCATTCCACTGAAATACAGTTGTCCACATGCTATTCGATATCGTCCACTCCCGCATAACTTGCTTGTCTAATGTAATGAATTTCTTATTGATATTTGTTTGCCAACTGTGTTTGCCGCTGTGTATCGGTTATTGCACTTTATAATATCTTTTCTCTTTTATATTATATAGACAAGTTTTATAGTTATTAAGAAATACATATTTCATATGCCATTAGTAAATACTGAATATTATTCAATATTACATATTATTATTATATTAAAAACATATATTATAATTGTTTACTGAATGCATTATGAATACAGCAATAAGAATAATTTAAATTAATTATTATTTTTTAATTCTACTCTTTAAATAGATTAACTTCACTTTATTTTCTATTTTTTCTATTTTTCGATACTTTATTATTGGATTGGAGTATTTAAAAAAGAAATAGGTATCTTGAAAATATTTAATTCACAATATTAATATAAATTCTTTGATAAGTTTTATTATAAAATTAATATTTCAAAATATGTTTATTGTTAATAATAGTATTAATAATTTTTTATTAAAATTAATTCTGTGATTATTAATCTATGATCTTCTTTGCAAAATGAATAAGAACAACATTTGAAGTGACCATTTTTCGAATGAGATATATTTATATTGAGATATATTTTTGACATAGACTCTCCAGTGAATATTATATGCTTTCGTCCTCGCACATCGCCCACATTAATCGGAAATTCTCGTGGCGTCAAACTTGCCATAGACATGTGGACGCAATCGATGATCTATCTTTAGACACTGAAAAAAGAGGTTTATTTGCGATTTTATGTAATAAAATCCGGCAGGTTTTTATTTTATTTCTCATTTTTATGCGATTGTTTTTATTGGATTATTATTTGTTGTTATGTTATAAGAGTTTTTATGTTTTTATGTTTTTATGTTATAAGAGTATTTATTAATTAATATAATAATAAAATAAGATAACAAAACCATAGGTTAATCAATTAAATAATTTTGTAACAAGATATCTTAACAATAATGAATTGGTGAAAGAAAACTTGAATAAATATATATGTATTTTTTATGAATTTAAACAAACTTCTTGAAAGTTTTTTAGTTTAATAAATTTTTGTAAATTTAATTTTATAATTATTTATAATTTCTTTTCTTAGTATTTCAGAAAGAGAAAACAGGTTTTGATATTTAAGAAAAGCATTTAAATGAATAATATGAATTGTTTATTTATATTTTAGTATTTTAATTTATCAAAATTATTTTTAATTATATCATTAATAGCGTAAGTAAATCTACATGAAATTTTTATTAAACAAAATGGTACTTTTTTAGAGGCGCATTACATATATATCGCTTTAAATGTTATTTATTGATATATAACAAATAATTATGTAAAGATAATATATTTCTTTAAATACAAGCAATTGGAACAGAGAATGAATTTTACGAAAAATTCATAAGCGGTATTTAAATATAGCTTACCATAAAGGATATCCGTGTTGATTTTCTATCTTTTGTGGTCACCAATGCATGGTAACCCAATTATAAAAGTCTATTCAGTATAACATATTCAGTAGACGAACGACTACTCAGATATTTAATTTTTCAACTATATTTTCGCGAGCTAAACTTATTTTATTATTTTTTTTTTACAACAGTTAAAGAAAAAAGTATTTTATGCAACAACGAATAGAAATTATTATGTGTGTGTGTAAATGTATATCGGTACATTCGTGATACTGTTTTTCATAGGCTGTCAGCATTAAATAAACCGTTTTTTCAGACTCTTTGTCAGCAAAAAAAGTGGAACACGGATATAAATGGAATGCCCTTTCCTAGTGATACGTCATGCATTCTTCCTTTTGGTCTAAAGCGTGAATGCAAAAAGGTCGCATGCAATTATATTGCATGCGTACGTATAATTGGATGAGCAAGTGTGAAATATGTACATTTAGATTCATTGCGATTATGTCGACGATGGATCGATAAATTTATTTACATAATCTGATTGTTGAATTGTTTTAAAATACGCAATAATCTATGGGAAATCGTGATTAACAGAAGCTTAATATTTTTCCGACTAATCGGTGACGTCATTTTAACATTTTTTGTAATAGTAGATGTGATGAAGAGAAAGTGATGAAATATCTTTAAGTAATAAAGTAATAAATAATAAAGTGATTAATAATACATTAATAATAATACATGGAGTAAGTAAATAATGATGATGAAATTTTTTCATGCAATGCAGAAGACATCATTAGTTAACTATTTGACATTCAATTGTCTGCAATACAAATTACTGTTCATTTTCTTTGCATTCATAATTTCTTTTTGTTTTTTCGAAAATTAACATTTTCTATTTCCTTTTATTATGATTAAAATAATATGATTTTAAGCAAGCTTGGTGACGTATCTCAATATTTCAATATCACTTCCAATTGACATCTTTCTTTTGGCTCTCTTTTACCTTTTTACGATTTACCGTTATCGTTTTACACATGGCACGAGTACACGTGTGCATAGATGAGTAGGAGGTCGCAGTGGCCTATATACATCGGAAATGAAGCTTACGTCTCTTATCTGAGATTACTTTCAGTCTTATTCGCTTCACAGGGACTATATTGAGCCTACCGCCAACGAGGTAGGTCGCAAGTTTCACAAATTGTTTTGCTGAAACGTCGAAATGCATAATCGGCATCCGGTGCAAACTACTTCAGCGAATTAGAAACCCTTTTATGATCGGCATTCGAACAAAGTCTGTCAAACAAAAATTCAACTGTTAAAATTTCCTTTGTTTCTTTATAACGCACATAACATATGTCACAGAATAAATTCGACACATTATTATTAAATTTTATTAATAGCTTGGTAATCCGGAAACAATTTAATTTATATACTTTATATACTTTCAGAAAAGGCGATAGTAGCATACCTTTTATTTGTACTATTTTACTTTTATGATATTTTAAATGTAGATAAAAGTTCTTAAAACTTTTTCCATTTTCAAACTTATTCCATATTTATAACTTGAAAACACGGAAATTGATTTGTTGAACAGTAAATTATAAAAGTTTGTAAAACTATAATTCTTACTTATTTTGGTAATTCTTATTTTATATTTTCTGTTTTTGCACTTTCACATTATACAAAAGTTTTCATTTACATTTTACATATAAACTTTTGAAAAAGCAAAGACTGAGGCTTTAAGAATCATTATTAATTTGACAATCTACTATTATCTCGGATACTTATTACATCTGCGTCAACAAGACACTCGTTACTTTAATTAAAATTACAAACGTATGATAAATATTTGTGTTTTCAAGTACGCACAACGCGTATTAATCACCATCGTCTGTTATAAATAATTAATATGTTAATTTCTAAATTTTAACTTTTTTTATGCATTTATGTTTCTTGGATATTATTATAAATTTAGGCATTGTTTATCATGTAAACATCTTATTGTCCAGATGCTAGAAACATTTTGTGCTGATACTGCTGACATACAATAATTCTCGAGACTCAGAGGGAATTTCTCGCGTTAATTGCGATTCGCGTGCTTGTTCCAGGATATGGTAGACGTTACAACAGCTTTACCATCCAATGGAGGAGCATCGCTAATTGGACGCACCAGAGGTGCTCTCAGATCTGTGCGATCTGCTCTAGGTGGAAGTGGGGAATATCTTCAGGGCCTAGGGAATAGAATAGGATCCGCTCTTAGTAGCAGCTTAGAGGAAAGCGAACTGACTACAACCCCTTCCTCGCCATCATCGCCGCCACAAGCACCACCGCCGCGGACTACCAAGCCAGAGGAGCAATTAGGACGGCGGAAACTCAGGCTTCCGAAGTAAGTATGAATTTTGCTACCCTGAATACCTCATAACAATTAGGACATGAAAATGTGAATATCACATAAGACAGTGAAACTATAAGCTGAACAGTGTTGTTTAACAAGATAGAAGTCTAATTTTTAATTAGATATCTTAAATATCTAACTAATATTTTTATTTAAATATCTAACGATAATTTATTTGCAATTAAAATGGGTTTGGTGTTATTAAAATGTAAATGCGTAAATGAAATGTATTTATTTATCTATCACTTTTAATTTATTATTATTAGTATGCTTTTATTTTATAAATAATATAATATAATTAGACGAAATAATTCTTAAAGAATACAAAAATTTAAAAAACTTTTATTATAAAGTAACTGTATCCAATATGTGGCCTATTTAAGCGTGGCGATTTTTTTCTAATTTTTTACTAAGTTCAACAGTGAAAATTGATGATCAGATTCAAAATAGGAAATGAATTTCTGAATATTAATTGAAAATATGAGATATTTTCAGGTATTTATATGATGATGCGGTGAAGATTTTGAAAAAAGAGTATCATTAAAAATATTATATTACAAACAAGTGAATATATTGAATACTAGGCCATAGGGGTATTTATCTTATTCTTTTTAAATTTATTACATTAGTGTTTACTAATTTACTATTATATTGTAACTTAAAGTTTATTTCATAAACAATTTGCTATATTAATATTTGCTATCGAATATTTACAAAACAGTATAATTTTCTTACATTGTAATTAAATTCTAATTGTATGCGCAACTATTAGCAAGCCATTAACGTGTGTAACGTATTACAGTATGAGTTTACACCTTGTAGCAAGGCATAATATTGCGATGTTTGTTCACTCATGAATATTCCCGCTACGATAATATTCGCAACGTCTCGTAGGTTTGGCGCTGGATTGTCCTATGAAGATTACGAGGCAATAGCGCGTCACAAACTGGAACGACAAGGAAACGCCAATCTGTCTAGAACACGGAAATATCCGCCTGGGATGACTTACGAGGAGATAGCATCCTCGAGATCAGCAGCCTCTAGCAAGAAACGGGAGAGTCGCACTGAACAAGAGGATATCAGTCCCGATCGCGATAGCCAGGAAAGTATAGAGCCCATTCAGGAACAGGACATCAAAGCGACCGGGCCTGATCCTTACGAGAAGTTGAATTACAAAGCAGGTGATTAGTCCTCACCTCCGATTATCCGCGGCAGACGTCGAACGAGTCGAAGTCAATGATTTTCTTCGTCTTCGACAACGGTCGCTATCTTTCTCTCGCTCGCGCTCATGCAGTTATCGAGACTCGGATGGAAATAATATCTTGTATTTCTTCTTTCTTTTCACGAAGCGAGGGCGCCGACCCGCTATCAGACGGTTGTTTTCCGTTTAGGTAATTGTAACAGTCAGTCAGTGTGGACTGTGATCCCCTGTGATCTCACCCGCGTGTCTCCTCAGTGTATTACACGTAGGGATGCTTCGGCTTTAAAATATCGATACTTTTACACATTTTCATTACATTTAAATGTAATACGATATTCGAAAGTTTTTGATATATAGGGAAAAAAAAATAAGATCAGCCCAAATAATTTACACTTTTTGTAAAATCTACTACTAATATTTTTACAAAGAGATTCTACGAAAAACATTTTTATGTTTTTAATAACGAAATATTAACGATATTATATTTAATTGCAACTCAGTATTTTCTTCACATATTAATACATACACAGCTAACGCGAAATTAGTAATATTTAAAATTAATAATATTTAAAATTAAATAATATCCAAACAAAGTCTCGATATTTTAAAGCTATTATATATATACCTTATCACAGACACGAGTTTCTGACTCCCCCTTCCTCCGCTAGATGTGATTAGCGAATACTAGCAATCGATATGTTCGCGTAATCCGGTGTTCGAATATTCGTAGGTCGATTGCGAGGTCTCATGCAGTTTGACCTGGATATATTGATTTTTGTGATTTCATGATGCTTCAAGCTATTTAAATAAATTGGAACTTAATTTACTTTACTTTTTCTCTCTTTATATTTACATTATTGTTGTGTAAACGAAAAATAGGAATTGGCTTTTATTTAATTTTCTAATACACATTTATTTTATTTTTGTTTTATAAGAAATAATAAACATAGAGAGATTAAATACACGCATTTTACATTTATACATTTTAATAATGACAAGGATGGTGGAAAAATAGAAAAAGAAGTTTATATTACACGGCACATCAAATATAGTTTTAATACAAAGAAAGCAACACGATTGTGATTTCATATTTCTTCAAAATCAGAATTGCATAATAATTTATACAAAATTCAATTGTACGTTTAAATCGTATAGTTTAAATTATAAATCGTATGTTGTCCTATTTTATACATTTTTAAGTAAATTAAAATAATTTTTAAAAAGATGCATATAACTGTTAGTTTTGATTTTATTATGATTTTTATGTAATTTTATACTTTTTCTGAACGTGTTATATGTAAAATACATTTCGGCACTTGTATATTCGAACACATAATATTTGTAGTTTTTTGCCAGACGTTGCATCCCTTTGGTAAAGATGTTGTTACCTGTGTATATATATATATGTGTGCATATTTTCACGCGAACAGCCTATTGCACCCCGATTGCATTCATAATATAGTTCAAATGAGGAAATGAGGAACTGTTTTACGTGGGTGGAAAAAATTCCATATGCTGCATATAGCAATAGTCTCGCGATAAAAAGTCACACTTATCGTCTACTGGATGCTTCAGTTATTTCCGCAACATTGAGTGATATATCACAAGGATATCTACAGACAATTAAGTAATATCGCGAATGTAAAGTATATAACTTTCAGTATCATACGTAATAATAGTCATTTGAGTGAATGTGCTTTACTGTTCTTCGGATCATTTTATTTTAAAAATTTTTACGGTATAATATACCAACGAGTAACAGTAGTAATTATAGTCTTGTTGATTGAAAACGTATAATAGCTTTATAGGCAAGTAACTCTAACATAGTAACATAAAATATTTTAACTCGCATAAAATTCATAATATACACACATTACATTAAAATAAAAAATTACTGATTACATTTATATTATAATTTTAATAAGTACGGAAGTTAATATTGTTCTATTTTTTAAAGATGTAATTTCAATATATTATATATATAACATACATAACACACACACACACACACACACACACACACACACACAACAACAAACAAACAAC